ACCCAAAACAACCACCGAAAACACCAAAAAAAACATAAAAAAAATCCATAATTCACCAACAACATATATTTTCAAAAAATTAGAAAAATCAACAACTTAATTAAAATCAAAATTAAGAAGAAAAAAAAGAGAAACATACCTTCATTTGACAAAACAACCGCCGAAATTGGGTTTATAAGGTCAAATATGAAAACCTTTGTTTTTTGCAAATTTATTGTGTTATTAGGATCGGTATTTGTGGTTTTGGGTGAGAAGGACGATGAGGAGGAAAACAAGAGGAGGTTCTTGGCGGTTCTTGGTGGTGTCGGTTCTTGGCGGTTCTTGGTGGAGGGTGAAGGAGTTTTTGTTGTAGTTGGTGTTAGTTTGAGTGAGAAGGAGCGAACAGAGAAGATAGGGGAGGGAGAAGGAGGACGAGGAGGGAGAAGAGGAAAGAGAAGAGAGGAAAGAGAAGAGAGGAAAGAGGCGTGAGGAGGGAGAAGAGAATAGGAGAGGAGAGAGAAAAAGAAGGGAGGAAGGAGAAGAAAGAGGCGGTGAAGAAAGAGAATTAGGGTTTCTTTCTCTTTTTAAAAAAAATTAGATTCCGACGGAATATTCCGTCGGCATATACGGTATTTCCGACGGAATATTCCGTCGGAAACTTCCGACGGATTTCATTTCCGTCGAAAGTTTATGTTTCGGACAGAATATTCCGTCGGAAAACCCATAAATTCCAACGGATTTGAATTCCGTAGGAATTCCGTCGTAAATTTCCGACAGATTTTAATTCTGTCGGAACTTTCCGACGGATTTCATGTCCGTCGGAACCTTCCGACGGATTTCATGTCCGTCGGAACTGGTCCGTCATAAATTGGCCTATTTCTAGTAGTGACAAGATCTTTGCTTCCAAGAAGGCGACCGCCCTTCTTCGCGCGGCTATTATTAGCCAGAAGCGTCCTTCTACCAAGTCTCCCTCAAAGGAGACGTCCAAGGTGAGCCTTCAAAACTTGGTCATGTTTTTTGCATTACTTTTCTTCTTCTTTTATTTTGTTAATCTTGACTTCTTGTTGCAGGGTGGGGCACTCAGACCCTCTCCCTCGGAGCAACCGAACCCCAAGGTTCGAAAGTAGACGGTTGGGAGTACGCCTGGTTCTTCCAGGAAACAACCATTTGATAAACAGGCGCGGACCCCCCAAAGTGGGGCGTAACAAACAACCGTCCCTAGGGATACCCGACCTCCAAGAGGTATAACTGGTTTCTTGGATTATGGTGTGCCTCAGTCGTATGCAACCAAAAATATCACAACTAAGCTAACTGCAAATAAACGTAGTTAGGGAAGTCGAGTTCGAATCCACAGGGAAAAAGGGACTAATAACTGGAAACCTAAGTGGAAATACTCTAGGACGGTAGTAACCTAAGTAACGAGGGGGGTTTTCACGAGCAATGATGATAAATGAACTAAGTAAGAACAACGAACGTAATGAATAGGTAATCAATGAGAAGAACGGTCTTGGTTATGCGAAATCCACTAATGAACATACAAATTGATCATAGAAGTCTCCTCAATCAAGCTCTATTGAACACCTTGTTGTAGAATTCCTAGATTCTAAATTCTCATAAATAGTTAGAAATATCAAAGCGCTCCTTTCTAACCCTTTCCAATGCACAATTCAAGACAAGCGCTCTAAATTATCCACAAGAAGAAAATAAACGGAGAAATCAACAAGGATTGAATAAATTAACACAAGCGGTCTAATTTCTTCAATAATATTATTCCCTCTTCAAGTTATCAACCAAAAGCATGCATCAATAACCTAAAGTTGCTACTTTGGAAAGATTAATTAGATGCAAGCGAATCCAATAATTCTAACCTAGCAATTGATTAAAGCAAATCATGAAATTAATTCAAGGAACAATATATATTCAATATATATTAAGAGAAGAAAGATCTCACAATTCGTAGCTAAAAGCTTCAATCTTTAACCAAGAATCCGGAAGATTAAGCTTCCATGGATTCTAATTCCAAAACAAAGAATTCTGAAAATTCCAAGAAAACCCTAGAAAGCTTTTTTTTCTCAAAACTTAATTCTCCTTTTCTAACTTAAAACTTAATTAAAACTAAGCTATTTATATGTTTCTATATTTTAATAACATAACACAATAATAATAATAAAATAATATCCAAAACACGAGCCAAAACAAAGCCAAATTGCTGAAAATTAACCAAAACAGCCCGAATTTCTGCCAGAGCCGCTGCCAGCTGCTCTGGACCCGCTGGCAGCTGCTCTAGCAGCCCCTCACTCTGGTATACCCGCTGCCAGCGGCTCTGGCCAGCTGCCAGCGGCCCTGGCAGCGGTTCCTGCTGTTTTTGCCTTCTTTCCTTGCTTCTTCTTCTTGCTTTGCTTCACCTTTTCCTCAAGCTTTCTTCCTTGCTCTTCCATGCTCCATCACAACTCTCAAATCACGAGCCAAGGTCCATCCTTCTTACATAACTCTTCATTGGTTCCCGAGCTCACTCACTCACTTATACTCATAAATCCCGCCTTTTGCACATAAGTGAGATCACAACCCAAAACTCACAAAAGCTAACAAAAGTACATATAAAGCATCAAAACACACCCTAAAATGCTTCTCTCAACCCATGATAAGAAGGCTTATCAAATTCCCCCATGCTTGAACCTTTACTCGCCCTCGAGTAAACTTAGAGAATAAAACACATCCTCCTCACTAAGGTTCAAAACAGAAGATGGTGGAATCAAACTAGCTCTACGCACTCAAACTCAACAAAACATCCTAGTACTTATCAACCAATCACAATCACACTCCCCCATACTTCACACTTTGAATCTCCCTTTTTTCTTATTTATCAATTCATCCCCAAAATCAACTTGGAACGATAAACGCATAGCCATGAGTATGAATATTCTCAACCGCCTAAAGAAATGAAATTTTTGATAAAATTGGGCAAACAAAAACTCAACTTAACCAAAAATGTCATAAAAACACTTCCACATTCAAGAGTGAAAACAAACAACTCATGCTCTCAAATTCCTAAGATGATCAACAAATTCCCCCAAAATCTCAACTATCTCCCAAAATCACCAAGATGAAACCTACCCCGACACCTCCTTATATCTCCTCCCCTTATGACACCGACTCCGGCAAATAGATGCGAAATTTCCTTGAAAAATCAAATTCATGAACATTTCTCTCTTTTTTCTCTCATTTTGCCTAGGAGCCCTTTCGGGTTTTCATCCTAGCCTCTCATATTTTTCCAAATCTCACTACCTCACCCGCTCATTAGCCACTTTTTTTCTTAGGTCGCCCTTTCGGGTTTTCAACCTAACCGGGCCCCCATTTTTGCCTAAGCCGCCTTTTCAGGTTTTCGACTTAGAGGGCTTCTTTTTCTTTTTCTTTTCTCTTTTTTTTTCAATTTTTCTTCTTTGTTTTTTTTTTCTTTTTTTTCATTGAAACATAATTGAAATAGCTATACAAAACCATTAAATTAGGATAACTATACAAATTTCAAAAATATGCAAGAATTGCTTCCCCCCCCTACTTGAATGAGACATTGTCCTCAATGCAAGAACAACAACAATAAAAACAAAAGTAAGGGAAAGGGAAGAAATAAGTACCACCTTAATGGGAAGGATTCCCGAAGTTGGAGGATTCGGCATTATCAAGGATTTCAAAACTCTCGAGAAGAAAAATGAACTATGGGGACCCCAAGTGTTGCCCATGGGAAGATTATTCCAACCAAACGCATTTCTAATTACCGCATAAGGCATGACATAGTTCTTATTGTTAAAATTGAAAGAAATTCTTGACATCCCTTAGTCAAAGTGGAAAGGAATTCATCTATACCTCACATAAGTAGGTGCGCTCGTGCTCCATCACTTCCTCCAAACCAACCACTTGCAATGCCTCCAAATCGACGATTTTTGTGCATTGCACCATTCTTTTGGGCTGTTGAAGTTGAACCCATGTAGTCTTTTCTTTCGTAGTTAGACGAATACCCATGAAGTCATTTGCTTGGGGAAAAGAGGGTGATACACCCTCCCTTGAAGTATCCCCTTGTTGTCTACCCCTTTGCAACCCTTGTAGGTGAAGAGGTTGCCTTCACTTGTTATGTCTTCCCATTGCACAAGAACGAATTGCACAAATCTCACCTCCTCTTTCAAAATACAATGAGCAACCCACCAAACCTCCAAACACCAAGGTTCACACAATTCCTCAAATTTCAAGTTTAGAATTTAGAAATTGAAACAATGTTAAGGTTTAATTGGACTTGAAATTGAGGGAAAAGAGGTTAGACGAGGGGTTTTTAAATTTCTGAATTTTGGATTGAAAATGGGGCAAATGGGTTGTTTTGGATAAAGAATACTTGCTAAGGGATAGAGGGAAGTGATTAATTGGGGTTTTGGATAAAGACTAGAATGAATTGGATTGTAGGATTGAAGAAAAAGGGGTTTAAAAGGGCAAAAATTCAGGTATGCAGGGAATGCCGCTGGTAGCGGCTTGGGGCCCGCTGCCAGCGGCTTAAGAAGGAATTTAGGGTGAATGTTGCTGGAAGACCCGCTGCCAGCGGTTTGGGACCCGCTGGCAGCTGCTTCTACAAAAAAAAAAAAATTTTTTTTTCTTTTTTTTTTTTTTTCTTTTTTTTTCTGAAGGACACCCGCTGGCAGCGGCACCAGACCCGCTGCCAGCGGCTGGGGCAGAACTTTGGGATTTTTTGGCTGCTTGGAGAGCCGCTGGTAGCGGCTACAGAGCAGCTGCCAGCCCGCTACCAGCGGCTCCTGCAGGGGCTGCCTCCCAAAGCCTGTTTTTACCTGTTTTGCTCTGTTTTTGCTCACAATACGTACTCCCAAAGCATCCTCCTACATAAATCCACCAAAAGCACTTGGTACATCAAAACAAAAACAATAAAAACTAAAATAAATGAAAACGGGGAAGAGTTTTCGGGTTGCTTCCCGATTAGCGCCTTTGTTTTACGTCGTTGGCTCGACACAACTCATGAAACTTCGTTAATCAATTGATGGCTCGTAGAGATCGATTTTCTCCAAATTCTCGACCTTGAACCCTTCGTAGTATGGTTTGAGCCTTTTTCCATTCACTTTGAACATGTTGTTGGTCTCTAAACTCCGAATTTCTACCGCTCCATGCGGATAGACCTTGTCAACTTGAATTGGACCCTTCCAACGGGAGCTCATCTTGTCATGCCACACCTTATTCTTTGCTTTGTGGTATACCTGGGATAATTTCTTGCTCGGAAATGATGACGGGGTGGGTGTTGCCCCTAGTGGTATAGGTGGAAGCTTGGACTGTTCATTCAATTCCGCCACCTTCACCTGCACATTAGTAGGTATAGAGAAATCCAAGCAATCACCAGATACAACATTAGTTATAGGTGTGAGGAACTCATCCCCACGATCATTGTTAGGAACATCATGCACCATTGGATCGACAACATTAAGAGAACATAAAGAATGAGTGTTGACAGGATACTTTATGGAATCATAAATGTTATACCCAATTGCTTTCCCATCAACCTCCATAGTCAAGGAACCGGTAGACACATCGATTTTTGTTTTAGCAGTCTTCAAGAAAGGTCTTCCTAACAAGATGGGGACTGCTTGTTTGTCATGTTCCATGTCAAGCACATAAAAGTCAACAGGAAAAATCAAACCATCAACCTTAACCAACACATCTTCCACCACCCCCTTAGGATACACATTAGACCTATCCGCTAACTGAATCACTACCCCAGTTCCATATAAAGGTCCAAGTTTTAAAGATTTAAACAGGGAGTAGGGAATGACATTGATTGATGCACCTAGGTCCAACATAGCTCGGTGCAATGTGGTGTCTCCTATTGTAACAGGAACAATAAACATACCAGGATCACCACATTTTTCTGGGATTTTCTTTTGGAAAACCGCAGAAACATGAGCACTCACCTTTACCTTCTCTTTTCCTCCCAACCTATGCTTTCTCTTGATAGTACACAGTTCTTTCATAAACTTAGCAAAACGAGGAATACTTTTAATCACATTCAAGAGGGGAATATTTACCTCACATTTGCTAAAAGTCTCATAAATATCCTTGTCTTTCTCATACCTTCGAGTATCTTGCAAGGCTTCAGGGAAAGGTGGTGTGGGTTCATAAGAGGGAAAAGTTGGTGGATTCGCCACAGCTTCATGTTCTACTTCTTGCTCTTCAGTTCCAATCAAGTCTTTAGCCCTCTTAGTTGCAACTGCAGTTTCTTGCAACTTTTTGCCACTTCTCAATGTTATTGCATTAACTTGTTTCTTAGGGTTCAGCTCCGTTTGGGATGGAAGCTTTCCAGAGTCCTTAGCTTCAAGTCGGCTTACTGCACTTGAGATTTGACTGACTTGATTCTCCAGGTTTTGAATACTTGATCTGGTTTCTTGTTGAAACTGCATCATATTCTGCTGCATGGTAGAAACATTAGAAGTTAGTGATCTAATCATTTCTTCAGTTGACATATTACCTGAATTAGAGCTTTGGCCTTGAGGTGTTAGGAACGGTGCCCTATATTGCTGAAACTGTTGTTGACCTTGAGCATGCTGATGTTGTTGGTTTCCTTGGGAATTCCCATATCTCAAATTTGGATGATCTCTCCATCCTGGGTTGTAGGTATTTGAAAAGGGATCATATCTTCTCTGCGGACCTTGCCCTTGAAAACCTAAGGCGTTGGCCTGCTCATTCTGCTCCTCTTGTAATTGAGGACATGCATCAGTGGGATGTCCCATGGAGGTGCATAAACCACAAGCATTCAGTTGATGTGGATTCCTTGAGTTCACCATGAACTCACACATCATAGAAGTCAAATCAGCTACTTGACTCTCTAACTCAGTTGTATTCGAATTTGCTAAATTCACCCGGCGCGTGGGAGTTCTCTGACTGAATTGCCTAGAATTTTCTGCTAGCTCTGCAATCAACCTAGTTGCATCTCCTGGAGTCTTATTCACTAGCCCTCCACCACTTGCTGCATTCACCATCCTCAAGTCATCATCAGTTAGACCTCCATAGAAGTATAGGATGAGGTCTTGATCGGAATACCCATGGTAAGGACATCTAGCACACAATCTCTTAACTCTCTCCCAATACTCATACAAGGATTCATCTTCCTTCTGATCCACATTGCTGATAGCTTTCTTAAGGCTTGCAGAAATAGTGGCTGGGTAGTACTTCTCAAGGAAACACTTCTTTAAATCTGCCCAAGTTGTTATGCTACCTGGGGGAAGATAGTAAAACCAATCCTTTGCTGCATCTTTGAGAGAAAAAGGAAATGCTCTCAACTGAATTTGTTCATCAGTCATCCCAATCGGTTTCATGCTAGTGCAAACCACATGAAATTCTGCCAGATGTTTATTCGGATCTTCGCCTTTCATGCCATGGAATGCCGGCAATAGATGAATTAGACCGGATTTGATCTCAACATTAGTACCTTCCTCCAACTGCTGGTATGCAATGCACAACGGTTGTTGGTTCAAGTTGGGAGCTGTGAGTTCCCTTAGAGTTCGATTGTCAGCCATCTCCTCTTCTTCTTTAATATTGAAGGAGTATGTTGATTCACTGGGGGTTGTTCTTGCCTCTTTTCGCAACCTGGAAATATTCCTTTCAATTTCTGGATCAAACTGCAAAACTTCTTTGTTAGCAGAACGGGTACTTATCATACCCTAGCGAACAAACAAAGAAAGATAGCTAAGAACAGTCCTAAAATAAATTCTACTAAGATAAACAATTAAAAAGTAACGCCTTAAGTCCCCGGCAACGGCGCCAAAATTTGGTGTGCCTCAGTCGTATGCAACCAAAAATATCACAACTAAGCTAACTGCAAATAAACGTAGTTAGGGAAGTCGAGTTCGAATCCACAGGGAAAAAGGGACTAATAACTGGAAACCTAAGTGGAAATACTCTAGGACGGTAGTAACCTAAGTAACGAGGGGGGGTTTTCACGAGCAATGATGATAAATGAACTAAGTAAGAACAACGAACGTAATGAATAGGTAATCAATGAGAAGAACGGTCTTGGTTATGCGAAATCCACTAATGAACATACAAATTGATCATAGAAGTCTCCTCAATCAAGCTCTATTGAACACCTTGTTGTAGAATTCCTAGATTCTAAATTCTCATAAATAGTTAGAAATAACCAAGGTCCATAAATGCTTTCTTCCTTGCTCTTCCATGCTCCATCACAACTCTCAAATCACGAGCCAAGGTCCATCCTTCTTACATAACTCTTCATTGGTTCCCGAGCTCACTCACTCACTTATACTCATAAATCCCGCCTTTTGCACATAAGTGAGATCACAGCCCAAAACTCACAAAAGCTAACAAAAGTACATATAAAGCATCAAAACACACCCTAAAATGCTTCTCCAACCCATGATAAGAAGGCTTATCAGATTACCTTGTCAATTTAAACATTCTTAGATCAGGCGGCCTGTTGCTTCGCTCTTATCTGATAAATTTTCCGTACCTCTTATTGCAGGCGGCCATCAGGAGCTGGACGTGGTCCAGATGGCCAAATCTATGGTCAAGGCTATTCCCTTAGATGAAAGGGAAACGGTCAGGGGAGTCGGTACCCTTGACTTGGACTCTATCATGGGTCTACTCTCTGAGGTAAACTTGATGAATTTTCTTCGTCATTAGACAATCATTAGCATTTAACTGCCACCTGTTTTTTAAAAGATTCTGACGCCTGTTCTGTTGATTCACAGGCCTTGCTTCGCATACATGGTCTCCGCCGCCCCATCAACGAAAAGAACAAGGAGGTAAAGGCTGCGAAGGCCATGGCCGCCTCTGATTGTGACCGAGCAATGTTTCAGATTGCCCAGAATGAAATTTTGACAACTGACATCTTGTGTTATCAGGTGACCACCACCTTGCAGGTCAAGACCGAATTGGAGGCGGCCAAGAAGAAAAACTTGAAGCTGGAGAAGGCGGTCAAGGATCTTCAGGACCAGCTACAGCCGCTTAAACATGTAAAACATGCGGCCGATGAGCTCAAAAAGGCGAACAAAAAGCTCAAGGAGCGCCTGGCCAGCCAAGAGGAGACCTTGTCTAAGCAACTCAGTGCTAAGGCTGAGACTAAGAAGATGGCCCTGGCCTAGGATATGATGGAGGACGCCTCAAATATTATGAGGATGACCTGGACTGCCCTCTTCCTTGACTTAGGCTATGAGCAATGGGAATCCAAATTCGCCGCCTGCACTGAAGAATATAATATCAAGGTTATGCAGTAGGCGGCTGATAAGGATGAAGAGAAGGATGAGGCAGTCGGCTCCTCTTCTGATAGTGAGGATGGGAACGAAGAGGAAGAGGAGGAGACGGACATCGGCAAGGGGGAGACTGAGAAAGAGGAGGCGGACGCCAATCAAGATCAAGCGCCTGCTAATGAGCCACAAGAGAATGTGCTAGAGGAGCAGGCGCCCATTGCCGAAGCTGATCAGGCGGCCGCCGTTACTGAAACCCCTCTCTCGAATGCTTAAGCTATTTATTTTTTCAACTCTTCTTTGGCCTGCGAGCCGTTTGTTATTATTTCTTTTTACCCGACCAAGGGGTCGGGGTCTATGAATATTTTTGCCGGTCTTTCTGGCCGGCTATTTATATATGAATGTGACGACTGTTTGGTCGTCTTGTTCATCAATCTTTATTTTGTTATTTCCCTTTGCCAAATCTTTTACCAAGTGTAGAATGTGTTCAATAGCCGCTTGTTTATCATGCCGACTGTTCTTGCTTGTTGTCTTCCTTTTTGCATCAAAATTTGCCATTTGAATGTTTGAATGTTGCCAAGTATAGAAGACATCTTAGTAGGTGTCGCAACCAACTGATATATTGTTGCCCCTGGCCAACTGATTGTTCTTTATCAGTCAGTCGGTCATGAGTTCAGTCGGCCTTCCCTTGAAAGATTGGTATAGCAGACTTCCCAGACTTGGGTTATTTTAGGAACATTACCCAAGCCGCCTATTGGTCGCGCTTGGGCACAAGTGGCTGTCTTGAGGGTTTTAAGCAATGGTCGTAGTAGGTGTAGTTGAGGGGCCAAATACCAAGATCTTAGCAGGGTTCCCTAAGCCTTGGACCATTGTTTGTAGCCGCCTAGTTGAGGAACAGTCGTCCTATTTCAGTAGGCCTGGCGTTGTTATAAGGGCGCACCCTAGGTGGTTGTGCGCCTATTTTTATTTTAATTGTTTTCCAAGTTTGATGGAAACAGGCCATCTGTAAACGGGATGCCTGTTCTGATGGGATCCACCTTTATTTGCTACAGACGTTCCCTTATTAGATCTAGATTGAACAGTAGTGAGGGGCCGCCTATTTTCAAGAATAGGCGGTCATTTCATACTTTTAGGTTCAATTCTTGGGAGGGCAACTGGTTATCCAGTCAACACTCCTTTTGTTTGAGTAGTAGGAGGGTCAGGCAGCGGAGGCCACTTGACTTCCTTTATTCGCCAAGTTTTGCTTGGCTATTAACCCAAATTATGCCAAAATGTTTCGGCAGTGTACAAGGCGCTGTTGTTTGGTAGAGACAGATCGCCTGTTCTTGTGGACGAGGCGCCTAGTCTGTACAACTATGCCTGTCTTAGTGGACCTAGTTGGAATAGTGGCCAAGTACCTCTGTTTGCCAAAAAACAAACGTTCAAGTACTTTTTAGGTTCCAAACTAGACTGACTTGAGTAGTAGGGGTACCAGGCGGCGTAGACAGGCGGGCCCCCTTGATTCGCCAAGTTTTTCTTGGCTATTAACTCAAAAGGTACCGCATGCACTTATCCCAAGTAATGTCAGGCGGTCATCCGACTCAAATATGAACTGACTACTACTGGTTCGGCTAGTAGTAGAGCTATCTTTGTATCAAGTGTAAATGGGTACGGGGTTGTCCTTGAGGACATTCGTTAGGGTCCGTTTGTTCGTGGTTTATAGAGCATTATTCCACCCAAAAGGGAGCTGCTCTCTGCGACGAATCTCATCCAAAGGGATGTCGCCGGACGCTTGCTATATTGTTGGGACAGGTCGTATTAATTTAATTTTTAGATAGGATCAGTCGGCCTGACGCCTGGGCTAATCATCCGGCCATAGGCCTTGTTTAGTTCATGGTGAACGTAGATGCTAAGTTACCTTAGGCTAGAGTATAGGAGAGTAGCCGTCTGTTTTAGGTTCAAGCAGCCCTCTTCTATGGAGAGTAGCCGACCGTATTTTCAGACGGCATGCCTCTCTAATGAGCAAAATACATATTGGAGAGTAGCTGACTGGAAATGTACAGGCGGCATGCCCCTCTGATAAAAGTACAAAGTATTGAAATAATTGCAAGTCTTATTAATAACCCTTGTACAATTACATCATTTAGAAGTAATACTTCTTTAAATTGTTTACATTCCATGTTCTAGGTAGGAGCCGTCCGTCTGGTGTTTCCAGGCGATAGGTGTCGTCTCTAACCTCCTCATAGATCCGGTAGGGTCCTTCCCAGTTGGGAGTTAGTTTTCCCTACTCATTAGCCCTATCAACTGCTTCCATTTTCCGTAGTACAAAGTCCCGCACTTTTAGTGGACAACTGTGTACTTTTTTGTTAAAAGCTCTTGTCATTCTCAGACGGTAGATCACATGGCGTAGGGCTGCGTTGCCCCTACGCTCGGGGAGTGAATCCAATACAGCATGACACAAAGAGTCGGCTCATAATGCTCAATGGGTAGAACAACTTCTGCCTCATAGGTCAGGAGGAATGGGGTTCCCCCAATCGCCCCTTTTTTAGTCGTCCTTATGGCCCAGAGAACATGTGGTAGTTCATCTGCCCATAGGCCGCCTGCTTTTTCAATCTTTTTCTTGATACTGTCAGAGATAATCTTGTTGAACGCTTCTACCTGGCCATTTGCTTGGGGTCGGCCAACTGATGCAAAGTTGTATGCAATTCCTTGATCCCCCAGCCAGTTCTTGAGATCAGGCGTCTCGAACTGAGGACCATTGTCAAAAACCATTGACATAGGCACCCTAAATCGTGTAA